TTTATAAATATTTGTATTAGCGATCAGTGAATGTGTTGAGTTTATTGTAAATAAAGATTCTTGAATATTAGCCAGATAATGTTATGACATGCATAAGCATGCTAATTGAATAATATACATATATATGCACAAATGTACATATATATGCACAAATTTATAATTAAACATTAAATTAGGCCTTTTAAATACCGAACAAATAGCTACGATTTCCTATATACACGAGCCAACTAAGCATACAGTATATAGATAGTTATTAGTCACAATTAGTATATACAATCATTTTCATAGTATACCACTTGGGGTATTACAAAATTCATTTTCCATAGCCTAATTCAGGGATAGGTTTCTTTATTCAATACATTCACTACACAACTTCAACTTATGAAACATAATCCATGTCTGATATTTGACAAAATATTACAATTGTATTCAAGTTATTCATTCCTATTCTCTGTCAAGAAAGTGCTCGGAATTTTTCAAAAAAGCGACGTATGTTTTCAAATAACATAAATTTGTAACGGAAATAAGTTACGTTTGAAGCGACCTTCCCTTGTCGAGATTTTTACTAAACTTCTTCGATTAAAAGAACTGGTAATCCATCTTCCATGTCGTCATGGATAATTCAAAATTTTGAAATATGTCTCTTTTAAAGGACTTTGATATAAACTACATCTGTAGTGTAAACTTCTCATTTATTCGAAGAACTTTGAGATGGACTTGCATAACATGCTATAGTGGAACCTTCTCGCTCATTTGGAAAACTTTGAGACATACTGCTTTGAATTATGCACGCGATATCATTTATTACAGGGTATGGCGTACTCCTTTCGCTCATTTGGGGAACTTTGAGATAAACTACCTTGAATTGCGACGGCGATCTCTCTCATTTGGAGAACTTTGAGAAAAACTACCTTGAGCGCTGTCTTCTCGCTCATCTGGAGAACTTGGAAATTAACTGCCTTGCATCTCGCGCACGATATTGGTTGTTACACGCTACAATGTAGATCAAAATGATTTATTACATGCTGTAATGTAGATTTCTCGCTCACTGATTTATTATCTCTAAAAATGTCTTCTTTAATGCTCTAAAATGATTGTTAGTTGACATGATTGTCTTCACTTTTTTGGTGACGGCGATCATTGTACACAATTACGTTTTTGCTGGAACAGCCCCAAAGATATTATTAACGTATTAACTACAGTTGTGTGTCGAGGAAGCCCTCTTTCATTTAAGGCCGATTAAAAATTTCCTTCCACAAAATTTGCTTCCTTTAAGCCTTTAACCTATGAATATTTTCAATCAACTTCTCTCTTCTCAAGCCACATGATACGTTTTAGTGCAATTGCTAATCCTATCTTTATGATGGCTGAAACGCCTTGAACGGAATAAGAAATTAGATCGCGCTTTTAATTCCTAAAAATATAAGGGAAATGAAGTAAAATAATAATAAATTTTTTGGAAAAGAAAGAAGAAATAATAACGACCTCCGGCCGAAATTTATGCCGACGAGGCAAGAAGAATGTGTGCTAATACTACAAAGTTTGCAATAAAAGACTAATTACATTAATCGGTAGCCCTTAACCTAAAACAAATATTTACTTGTTAATTTGATATCACAAACAAACAAAAAATCAATTCCTTTTATGCATTATTGAGCCCGTTCCAAAGAAAATCCTTGTTTGACAAAAAAATTAACGTCAACCTAAGAAACTTTTTCCAATTTTTACAGAAAGAGTTTAAAAATAAAAAAAAAAAATGTTTAATATCACAACAGCGATGACTTGTAAGCATTTCGTTACAATTCTTATGAAATCAATCCAATTATTTCGGATAATTGCGTACTAAATCTATTATTATTGTTGCGTGCAAGTGCACTTTGTTCGAATCCCCAGCGTTATCGTTCTCAAAAACGCGCAAAACAACTTACCCGATCGCATTCGTTCCTATTTTTTTTTCTTTCATAGAAGTTGATCTCAAAGTTAAACAAATATTTTTCTCTATTTTTTTTTTTTTTTATTTCTTTATTTCTTTCTTTTCTTTTTTCTTTCGCTGGACGTTCTCTTTTTTGCAGAAACAAATCATTTGTAAACGTATCTCAAAAATATTCGAACACATATTTATTCTCAAATCGTCATCACATTTTCGAATGAGCTCAAAGTCTCATCAACTTATTGTGGGCATTGATTGATTCGATCAGCTATAGAAGAGTAAAGAAAATCGAAATCGTATTTTGTGCGTGACGTCACGCCATTTTTTTTTTAAATTATTCGTATAAAAAAGTTATGAGAGAGAGAGAGAGAGAATAACAAAATGTGAATGAAAAAATTTATTTTTTTTCATTGTATAAAATTTATATACAATTTAAAACGAAAAAAAAACTTGTGTGTTTAATATTGAGTAATAAAGAAAATATTTTGCGAATTTAAAACAAAAAAAAAAATATTTCATTATTTTCAACAAGTAAAAGTGCTGAATCATAGGTCATCATTAAATACTCTACACCACCCTGCAGGGTCACCATGTAACAACTATTCAAAATAAGGTCTTATAAGGGAAGAGGTCGAAATAATCATACACAAAATACATCCGTATACCAAAATTCATAAAATTAGCTGAAAAATTTGCGACCCATAGCTTAAAAACAAATTTATATGCAACGATATGAGGCGGACCGGCGGACAGACAAGCTTAGATCAATTCAGATTATGATTCTGAATCGAAATTGCAGTGTTTAGATTAAGCACAAGAAAACAATACGGACAGACGGACGGACGGGGGAACAAGTTTATACCGATTCTGAATATGATCGCTATAATAAAAGCTAAATCTATCTCAAGACCCTCTGGATGTTACATACATTCCTCTTTTTACTAGTAAGTGGTGTAGGGTATCGAAGTTTAATACTTTAAAAATTTAAAAAATATTTCATTTAATCAAAAAAAAAAAAAAAAGAAAAAAAAAAATTCCCATTGCATTCATATAGATAACATTAACTTTTTTATATTTTGAATTAAAAAAACAAAAAAAAAAAAGAAATAAAAAATAAATAATAAAAATTTGTTTTTTTTTTTTT